CCAACACTTTTGCATTCTTTGGGCTCCTGATATCTAGATGAACTCACGGGAAAAGGGGCCACCCATATCAATTGTTTTGAGTTTATAAAAAAGTAAATTTACCTGTTTTTGTACACTAAGCTTATGGATTAAGTTTTATGTCCACTAAAAAATTAAAGGGAAGCTGTTTTGAACAAGCAAAGATTCTGCCAGTATCATAGTGCATCAGCCCTCAGGACTGGATCGTAATATAGAAGAAGCCAGACTCTTAAAACTAGGGCTCAAAATTTATAAAGTATTAATGATTATAACTAATAAGACTCACCATATGCTAAACTTATTGCAGAGTCACCTGCATTACTGATACAGAATTGTTTTATCAAGGATTCAAGGTTTCAAACAATAGAATGTATTCTAGACAGTTTAAACAGAAAAGGGATATACTGGAAAGATGATGGGTAATTCATAGCATTTTGGGAGAGACTGGTACAGCTTGAGGTTAAGCCCCAATTCTGCCCCAGACCTTGCCTAGAATCGTAGCTGTTCCCGCTGACGCCACCAAGAATCCACATGTGTGTATCTTAGTCACAGGAAAGCTGAGATTCAGCATTCTGACTTTCTTGAAAAAGTGGACTCAAAATCTAGAAATTTTCTTAATGTAGAAAAACTATTTAGAATCGAATAGACAGATATGAACTCTTGCCTTCAAGAAACAAGGGATACCACACACTTAAGAATGTGCTTATTATTTGAGGCATAGAACTGAGCAATAGGTCAAAGATTCTGGCTGTTATGTAGTTTATCCTCTGGGGAGAAAGAGGAGAGGGCTTAAAGAAAGAAAACCAAGTAATAACACCCAGACCTATGTAGAAATTTTAGCAGTCAGGTGGTTACACCTAGTATGGGGAATAGTGTAGCAGGGAAGGAGAACAGGGACATGTAAAGGCCTGGGAAACCACGGAGTTAGGAAGCTATGCTCATTTTTATAAGGCCTCACTATAGATGTGATGTTTGAGACTTGTGAAACAAGAAGGCGCCAACCTTCCCTGTATCGGGCAGAGAGCACAGCCAAAGGCTTTGAGGTAGGAGCTTCACTGGAGTTTAAGGAATGGTAAGGAGACCAGCATCTCTCAAATAAATACCATTTATTAAATAACTTTTCCCGTCTTAACTGGTTTAAAACATTGTATTTATCACCTACTCTGTATTGTATCCTCATTTAAATACTTACAAATAATCTTTTCAAATCAGCAAGGATTTGAAAATCTTTACTGGAATTCTGTAAAGAGGGCTATGGAGACTAAAGCACACAAAATATTCCAACAACAAGAAGAAATTGGTATGATTTACTTCGTGACATGAAACTATTTTATGTCTACATAAAAAAAAAAAAATTCAAAGGAAAAACTCTCACAAAATTTAAAAGCTACCTATACCCCAAAGCCTTCTTTTTAAATACCTATATACAACTTTTATTAATTTTTTAAAGTGAAAAATTTGCTCCTACTTAACTTTCATGAATCTGCCTTTTACCAGTGATTTTTTTTAAGGATACTGACAATAGCTTTGCAACGATTTCTACAAATTCTAGCTTCTGGAGATGGTATTTGTCTTGGCTTGAAGAGCTGAGCTGATTTAAAGCAACCAGGTTATTTACTTTTAGTTCCTCGCCCACTTTGAGTTTCAAAGTGGTTTTAGCAGTATTCGTTCATCTGTTTTCATGTAATAATCATTATTTTTGTTGAGGCAAATAAACACAAAATTGCATGTATGTATTTTATATTAATATATACAGCCCACCTTCCCCACAGGGAAGGCCTATTCGTTACTGTTAGTTAAAATACAATACATAATACCTAACAATCAATCAACCAAACAAAATAACCAAATAATTTATTTTTTGTTGTTGTTCTTAACATTTCTCATAAGATTCACTTCTATTTGGGTTCTAGCTATGCTACTCTCCATCATTCTGGAGTCCCTGGTTATGGGAATTCCAACTTTGGCTCACAATAACCCCTGAGTATGCAGATTAATTTTTTAGCTGTCTGTGTTATAGCTTAAGTTTCCTTTTATGATTATATTTCATTTATACGAGCTTTTATATTTCTTGATTACTTACTGTTTGAGGATTTCTAGTTTTATCTACCTAAGAATATGCTTAAGAATGGGCTATTTTAGACACCAAGCACACTTTATACTATGGCCAATGTTTCTTTTTATTTTCCTTTCTTTTTTTTCAGCTAGATGAATTCTGAGATAAGACTCTCTCTTTGCCAAAGTTTTTGCCAATTCAATTTTATTATTTTCTTCTTAATTATACTGATTTCCTCATTCACCAAGTATCTATTGGGTGGCTCTTTTGTGGATAGTGTGGGCTAGGAGCTATCAGAATACAAAGATGACTCAAAGATGAGTCCTGCCCCCAAAACAATAGCCTACAAAGGGAGATTGAAAATGTGTATAAATAAATATAATACATTTCACAATGTGCTTATTCTTTTCATCATCAGTGTATATAAAGCATCATGAAATTGGTGCAGAAATTTTTGAGGACTGTGATAAGGGTCATGCTTGAGGCAGTCTGTTAAGTTCATGAACACAGATGAAGGAAATTGCATTCCAGATCAAATCATGAGCAGAAGAAAATCACAAGAGTATAAAAATGAGTTTCACATTCAGCAACCAACACATTGTTCATTTTGACAAGATTGTAGAGTGACTTTTAAAAAGTAGCAAATTTATAAAGATATTTATGTTGTGATTAGACAAAGGGTATGTTCTAATGTTGAGGCTCAGAATTTGGGTTTTTGAGTGGATGATTGATGGAGAAACACTAAAGGTTTTGTCTTGGGGACTGTCCAAGGTATAAATTTAGTCTGCCAGCAGAAACCTAGATGGGTGAGAAAGTAGAGACTTGATAGGCTGAAAAAGACTTGGAATGCTCTGGGAGAGTGATTGTTTAGGTTAGGTAGCAATGAGCTCTGAAGTAAAGAAGTGATTCAAGAAATTCAAGAGAGATGGGAAGACAATGAGAACAAAATTTTTAGGCAGCATGTGTATAAGAATAGATATACTGTGTTGGGATGCTGCTTAACAAATCCCAGAGACACTCAAGCGTCCCAGGTCACTGGCTGCTTAGACCTCTATCCAGATCTAGGACCCACACAGTCCAATAGCTGAAGAAGGAATTGCCAGAGCATGGAGAGAACATCGGGACCTTCACTGGTGGCTGCCTGTTCAGTGCTGCTCATTAAATAGTTTGAATATCACCCTTGACGTGTAGGGATTTAGCAAAATTCAATTCAAAATACCATTTCTCCACTTTTGCTTCCTTAACCTTTAGAAAAAGGAAATTATCAGCCTAGTCAAAGCAAAGTAAGGCAAGGCAAGGATTTATCAGGCACTCTGCTTTTAGCAGAATAAGACTGGCAGGTGATTATCTTGAAGGTTGATATTTTTAGTCATAAGTATATCATTCTTATGTGTTAGCCTTGTCATTTAGATTGGGAAAATATCAATCCTATTTTCTGTTCAGTCAGCTTTGTTGATAACTATAGCAGTTTAGTCCCCATAATATTACGTTAATTTTTATATTTGCTACGATGCCCTTTTTGCCTTTAATATACAATTTTAGAAGAAAATGTCATATATTTTAATTATGTAGATTAAAATCCAATTCAATTACTTTATTTGTTGCTAGTTTAGTTATTTGGAGATAGTCTAAGGTTGGTGAACTAAGAACCAAATTATGAATTTTCAAATGATTTTTGAATCATCTTTGACATACTTTTTATTTACATACTTTTTTATATACTTCCCCCAGTTGTTTCTGAAAAATATGTGTAGTTATTACTGGTTACACAAAAGCCAAAGGTAGTATCTGAATATGAAAAAAAAATTAGGTAACTGTAATGGTTCAATAGGACCTTGGTTCTACTGTTTCTATTCATTGGTAAGCCTTAGTGTTCTGAAATTTTGTGTATTAAATTAGGAAGTCCAAATTGAGTATGGAATCCCTGATTTGAGTTTGCTTTTCCGTAGAGCCAAAAAGCAACGTATTTCAAAGCAGTTAACACATGATAACACCTGGGTTTTGAGCTGATGAATGACTTTGTCTTTCATGTTTTATGAAAATAGTATTTTAAAAGACTTTAATGTGATTGTATTTATTTTTAAGAGGCAAGTGAGATTATCATTTTTTTCCTTTTAAAGTGATCCGGCTGCTGATGTATGATTAGGTATGTTTGAGTTTAATTTGATTTATAAATATTTAATATGTTCTTATCATATTCAAGACACAGTTCTGGGCACCTCAGAAGAGATTTGCTACTTGAGAGATCACAGGAAAAAGAAACAGAAATCACTCTGGTGTTAGATAAATGTGAAAATATCTTGAAATACGCACTTACACTAAGACACACAAATACACTGGGGACTTTAGAAGAAAGAATTTCCATGCATTTGTGAGGATTTTATAGATAACATCTTTAAAATTTTCTTAGGGTTTTTTTCTTTCATTTCAGAATATTGAGGGGTAAACATGTTTTGTTTATATATTTTGTTTTTGTGTAGATTGAGTCAAAGTTGTATGTGTGCCCTTCACCCCAAAAAACATGAGTTTACTAATACCCTCCTCTCTTCTCCCCAGATTTGCACTGAGATTGACTTCCATCTGTGCACTTAAGTGTTGATTCATTAGTTCCAATTTGGTATTGAGTATATGTGCTTCTTCCTCCATTCTTGTGATGTTTCTCTCAGGAGAATAGTTTCCAGGTCCACCCAGTTCATTGGAAAAGATACTAAAGTATCTTTTTTTTAAAATAGGTAATAAGTAGTACTCCGTAGTATGCCTATACCACAACTTTTAAATCTATTTCTGTATTGATGGGCAGTTGGAATGTTTCCACATCTTTGCAATTATGAATTGTGCTGTTGTAAACATTTTAGTGCAGTTGGTGTTTTATCAAATTAGCTTTATTCCTTTGGGTATATACTCAGCGGGGGGAAGGCTGGATCAAAAAAATATGGAGCACTTTACGAATTTGGGTGGCATCCTTATGCAGGAGCCACGCTAATCTCCTCTACAGCATTCCAATTTCTGTGTATGTGCTACTGAAGCGAGCACAATCTAACATTCTTTGAACAATCCTTATTTGCCAGGCCTTTTGTTAAACACCTCAAATGGATTATTTCACTTACTTTTCATGAGATAGGTACAACCAATATCAGTATTTCATAAATGAGAAAACTGAACCTTGGGGAAATAAAGTAACTTTCCTAAGGTCACCTGTGTAATGGTCAGTTGAATTAAGATTCAAACCTAGATAATATGATTTCAAAATCTGAGCTGTTTACCAATTTATCCCCTTATCTTAAATCAGGATTAAGGAAAAGTCAGCGTCCATGAGTGTTTCTTATGTGAGACCTGCCACTTATGTAAACCATCTGGCTAAGGTGAAGCATATTCAAAAATGTGAAATTTTTATTTGTTTGTGTATCTGATAATTTTTATTGTCAACAAATAAACTTTAGGCATATTGACAACTGACTGGTAGAGCTGGAATAAAAATAAAATTTCCTAGCGCTTAAATGTATTATGTTAAATCTTCAGAAATCTGAACGACAATTGGACTCTGTCAGTCATTTTTATGAGTTTGAGCAGGACAGTATAGTGTTTTATATGTCTCAATGGAGGTGTTGTTGATAAGATCTATATGCAAAAAGCAGCAGAGAGAAAGCACGAGCCAGTTTGAATTTTAACCTTCTTTCTAAAAGCATTGCAAATTATGTTGTGGTTAAAAGTAATATGAACCAATTTATAGTAAAGGTGAATACATAGTAATTCATCAAATTTTTTGCATGAGTTAATTTTCAGTAAAAATTTAATTAGAAAATAAATATTGTTAGAGAAATAAGAAAAAAAATCCTTGTTATATTCTAAACTTGTCTAGATTGTATAAGAGAGAAGTTTGATTTCTAGTGTTAAACTTTTAATTAACTCATGTGAGAAATATTGGTTGAGTCTTGCCAATGTGCTAGGAACTATTTTAGATATTGGGACTACGAAATGTAAAGACAAAAAGCTGCCCTCCTGAAGTTTATGTTAATAAGTAAATGTGGATGATGCCAGATAGTGCTAAGTGCATGGAGAAAATTATAGCAGGAGTAAGTGCAATGAGAAGTGACTTCCTCAAATAGACAGGACCGGGAGACCATGAAATTCTGTGCTGACCAGGGATCATGCTATTTTTTGCTTCTATGGCTTCACACATTCCATGATAAGATATGTGACCAAGAAACCATCAGGATCAGGGGACATAAAGAGCCATTTGCCTTTGGGGCATGGGATTATGCGACTTCACAGTTATTTTGTCACTAACACTTTCAGATTTGGTTCTGTCTGTATCAGCTGGGCTACAGTGCATTAAAACCACCCATTTTTCTTGTAGTGGAGGAATTTATGAGTTTATTGTCCATTATTGCATAGGTGAAGGGCTTACATGTTACTATCCAGAGGAAGTACTTTAAGTGAGAGCAGGAGAGAGTGAGATAATTATAATATGTAGGTCATCAATCAGAAATAAATTTGGGGGAAAAGCAAGTAGATGCATGGGGTAATTGTTCATGAAAGTTAGAAGTAATCGAGTTTATGTTTGTACTTAGTCTACATTTTTTTTCTGGGGGCAATAGATTTCCTGTGACCATTGCCAATTTGAAGAGATTTAATACTCCCTTTGGAAGGTATTTAATACTCTTCTCTTTGGAAGGTATTTAATACTCTCCCTTTGGAAGAGATTTAATACTTCCTTTTGGAAGGTATTACTACTGCAATCCTTGAAATTGGTAGAATATGGATATTGTGCCATATAGGTGCATGGAGAGTGAATTCTTTCCCTAATGGAGATACCTCAAGGGGGAAAAGAGCAATAACAATCTTTCTATGGAGAAAATAGGATTCTTATTTGGAGGTAGGGAGATAGCCAAAGGACTGGAAGGATGGTGTAGCTAAGATGTTTTTCTGGCTGTAATATTTTAGAAGTTGGTATTCATTTAAGAAATGGAGTAATACAATATCTGACCCTTCTCTTGTTTCTCATAACAGAGTATGTAAGTTAATGACAGGAAGAAAATTTAAAGTAAAATTATGAAGGAGTAGTGCGTCATTGCAAGTTGTTGACCAGATGTTGGGCATCTAAGTGGGTATAACTGATAACAATCTTGGTGACAGGAAGTCTCACATGGGTCTAGCTTCCCTCCTCAGGTGTTGTCCTGGCCCAAGAGTTCCTGATGATTCGACAACCTACTTGAAAAAGAGCCAGTGCAGGAAAAAGAAACTATTTCAGGCTGAGGTTTAAAATAGGTTATAATTTTTCCATAAATACACTGTATGTTACTACACAGGAGTTTATTTTTAATACCTTAATATATTTGAATACAATTTCAGGGAGCATAAAATGTCAGATTATATTAATAATAATGCAATTTTATGGGAAAAAAAGTTCAGAAAGATACTTGGGAAGGAGATTTCTTTTTTGTTATTTGGTTTTATAACAATTTGCCTGCCAAAGAAGTTTTTATTTCAGGATTCCTATCACTACTGTACTCTCTAAAAATGAAACATTTCTATTACAAATGAAAGAAAAAGTTTGTTTAACATTAAACTATTCCTAAAACTACTTAAATGAAATACATTTTCACCGACTATTTATATTTTCTGGATAAAGTTGAAGGGCATACAGTTTTGTTTGGTTTTGTTTTTGAGAAAGAGTCTCACTTTGTCGCCCTCAGTAGAGTGCTTTGGCATCACAGCTCACAGCAACCTCAAACTCTTAGGCTCAAGTTGTCCTCTTGCGTCAGCCTCTCCAGTAGCTGAGACTATAGGCACCTGCCACAATGCTCAGGCTGGATTCTTAACTCCTGAGTTCAAGCAATCCACAATTTTATTTAGAAAGTAACTGTGTCAAAATCAGTTGCTGGGTTGTGTCATTTTGCACTTAATGCTGTGTGATTCGTAAATGTACACATCATGTTCCTCCTTACCTGGCTCATCCAGTGCATCTGTGGTCTTCAAATTCGAGATGTAGCCCCTGGGATCATTAACACTTGGTCCACTGGGGTGGGAGAGGACAAGATTATAAACTCCACTTATCTTGATTATCATCTAAACTGCAAAAGAATGATGGTTAACATTTACTATGGCTTGAGAGTTTTCAGGGAGGGTGGCTGTGTTTGACAGTGGTGTGCTCACTTGCCTGTTCATTTGCTCTCAGCTTCTTGTGAGGCTTTGTAGTTTACGTGTTTTGAGGAGTCATTGATTTTTTATGTGTTTTTTGTGTTTTATGTGTTTTTTATGTGTTTATGTGTTTTTTTTTAAAACACAGCTTTTAGAATAGAGGTATCTTTTGTACTATGTAGAATGGCCATGGAAATCTTTTGTAGCACACAGAGATTCATGGGTTACCTTGTCAAGGATGAATTACACACATTGTCCTAAAATGAAAATAAAAATGATCCAGTTTTCCTAAATGTTTCTGTGATTATTGAGTGAGGGATGATACTATGCTAGTTTAAAGGTGTAATTAAAATGTTATACAACATAAAGTTAAAGACTTAATCAGTGCTTGAGAGGATAAGTACTGTTCAAAATAAATGTTTAATGTTGGAGATAGTATTTCAAAAACTTGATTTGGAAAATTTCAATCAGTGTACGATTTTATTGTCAAAATATACTTATCACCTAGAAAAACCTTCAGAGTTGCCCACTTTTTGATTTTTCAAGTTTGGAAGTAAGAATTTCTAATTTCTTTAAAGGTCTCCCAAATAACACATTTCAATAGGTTTTGAATCATGTGTTAAAAAATATAAAAAGCCAAAATCTTCCCGATAGTTATTGAGAATAACTGATTGACTCTGTTGAGACAAAAATTTCCTAGCAACATCTAAAGATTTCTGCATTACCGAATTAAATATAACATTGCGTACATGATTAACAATGTTACAGAAGAATAATAAATGTAATAGTTTTAATGTATGTGCCATGTGTTATAATATATCTTATTGTAATAGAAATTATATTAAGTGGTATGGAAATTGTACCCTGTACTTTGGTAAATGTGGTCCCTGTTCATTGGTACACACCTTGCCTTTTGGATCAACTTATCTTTGTGAGGTATCCCTTTTAGTTATGATTGCCTTAAAGTGAAATGTCTATTAAGCTTAATTATGAAGAAACATATTCAATGATATGTTTCTATTTTGAAATATTAATATTATTGTTGATCAAGATTTTTGCAGGAGCAAATTCTTTTAGTAATGTTAATCAATGGTAATATGTAAAGTATTCCTGTTTGCTTCATTGTTAATTTCCGTTTTATTTAATTATGTATGTTATATTCATCTAATTTAAATAAGCTTCCTAAAAATTTTTGATAATTTATTAAATTGAAATTCACATAACATAAAACCAACCATTTTAAGGTGAACAATTCCGCGACATTTACTATATCCACAATGTTGTGAAAATACCATGTCCATCTGGTTCCAAGGAATTTCCATCACTCCAAAGTACGACCCATTCAAAGTACAACCTTCACCCATTAAGCAGAGTCTCTTCATTTCTTCTTCCCCACCAACCTCTGGCGACAACCAGTCTGTGTTCTATCAGTCTGGGTATTTTATATAAATGGAGAAATACAGTATTTGACCTTTTGTGCATGGCTCATTTTGCTTTGCATAATATTTGTGGACCTTTATCCATGCTGCAGCCGGTGGCGGTACCTTCTTTCTATTTATGGCTGAATAACAATCTGTTGTATTTTCTATATACCGTAACGTATTAATTCACTAATGGACATTTGGGCTATTTTCACTTTCTGGCTATTGTGATTAGTGCTGTTTTGAACATCTGTATGGCAGTATTTGTTTGAACAGCTGTTTTCAGGTCTTTGTGGCATATACCTAAGAGTAGAATTGCAGAGTTTTATGGTAACTCCACGTGGAGATTGTTTGAGGAACTGCCATACTGCTTTCCCCAGCGACTGTGCCATTTTAATTTCCCATCAGTACCATATAAAGGCTCCAGTTTCAATGAGTATACTTTTAAAATTAATAAATATACTTGTATTA